TTCTGTCAGTGAGATGGGTCTCCTATAGGCAACAAATTGTTGGATCTTCCTTCACAAAATGCTATTTAAAACAACCCTATGTTCACATGCACACTGGTACATATGGATGAAGAACTTTTTAGATTAAAACATTAAAACACTACAACTTTAAGAGATTTGCTTGATTCATTTTACTTAAGCCTTAAGACCATACCTGGGGCTATCTTCAATCAGATTACTACAATCATTTAATCAATGTAATCATTAAAACCATGCTATAGGACCTTCACCTTGCCGAGGAGAATAATTATGGCAACCATGGGACTTCATTCCACTAAAGCCTAGTTGTTCAAATACCTTTTAATTCCCAGCATCTCTATGAAATGCTCATCCCAGGTAAAATCAAGACATAGGATTAAATAAATGGAAACCTAAAATGAGACTGAACATTCTTGTCATAACTAAGCTGCAAGCAGGATTTTCTTGAGGCATAATAATGTTTGCTCAATTCTAAGGACTAAAAAATGGTAGAAAGAAAGACATAAATTGAAAATAAAATCTGTTATGGACTAAGATAAGTGCTTAATTTAGATTGTTTCCTTTGTTCTGGGTCTTGTACTGTACTTTGAAAAATCAAGGTTTAATAAATGCTTGTTGTTGCTAATAAGAAATAATAAAGAATCATCAGTACTAGTAAAATCTAGTGTGAAACTGAAAACGTTTTCAACTATCTACACAGTAGTCTCCAAACTAATCAATGTAAGTTATAAAATTACCTGAATTATTTATCAAGAAAATGAGGGTTTTAAAAGATGAAATATTGCTGAACAGACTTAAATATTAAAAAACTTGCTTTTAATGTCCCTTTTCCCTAGTATTTCCTGCTCAGATGCTAATTATTTATTTATCCCCAGTATAGCTTTCAAATGATTTCTAAGCACATTGCCAGGATTAACTCATTCAACTGAACAACTTCTCTTGTAGTAGTGACATTATTATCATAATTAACAGAACACAGTGTTTTTGTGATTGATTCAGGCATTTAGCAGTGAGCTCAAGAGACAGGTACAAAATAAATGCATTATAAAATTAAAACCCATAATTTTAAAATCAAATCATTTTAAAAATATTTATTGCTGTGAGATGGGAGTGAAAAGTTAGAAAAAGCACCCCAAGTAGCTTGCTTTCAGGTTCAATATAATTTCTAAGTGAGTTGCTGTGTTGATTAAAATCATGTGGAATCTATGAAAAATCCATAAACATTCAATACATTATGCACAACTCCAAATCAAACTAGTTAATGGGCTGAACAAAGACAGCCTTTAAAAAAATCTTCATTAATAAGTTGTGTGAACTCTTTGTTTTTGAGTACCTGTATCAAAGGTCAAAGATTTCTTTATTTTCTTTTTTAAAATGTTCTTTCTTAGTATTCTACTCTTATTCCACGCCCTACTGAAATTTTTCAGAATCTAAGTTACTTATTAGCCTTTTACAGTAAAATTTCATGTAAAGCAATGACAAGGGAACACAAACAGATGTGAATGCCAAAAGAAGTTGAACAGGTTAAGCATCCCTAATCCAAAAATCTGAAAAACTCCAAAATCCAAAAGTTTTTGAGCACTGATATGATGCCATATGGGGGAATACTACACCTCATTCCATAGCAGCTCTCAGTCAAAACAAAAGTACACTAAAAATATTGTGTAAAATTACCTTCAGGCTATGATATATATAAAACATAAATGAATCTCATGTTTAGACTCAAGTCCCAAATACCTCATTATGCATATGCAAATATTTAAAAACCCGAAAAAATCTGAAATCTGAAATAAGCATTTGGAAAAGGGATAACATGTTGACTTGTCTAATTAAACTGACTAATCCATTGACAAATCATTCTTTTTCAAGCAGCTATTGTGTTCACAAGTGTACTTGGGATAAAAGTTTCAATCAAAAAAAATACTACAAATATGTGTGTTTACTTTTGTTGGAATGGCAGAGAATGTCTAACCTTCGGAGAAGAGGAAGAATGTGTGGGTGTTATTTTGAACCTTTAGCAAATTATATTAACAATACAATTCCTGACTTAAAGGAACTTTTACTCTAGATGGAAACAGTGGTCATGAATACATTAAATAATTAAAGAAAAATATTTTCCAACACACATTTTACCTACTAAGACTTTCCGCATCTGTCTGAATATTTAAAATGCACCTTTTCAGTCAAAGGCAGTGGCTCACTCCTGTAAGTTCAGCTATGTGGAAGGCAAAGATGGGAGAATCATGATTTGAGGCCAATCCTGGCAAAACGTTAGCAAGACCCCAACTTAACAAAGAATTTGGTTTTGATGGTGAATATCTGTACTTTCAGCTACATGGGATGCATAGGTGGGTGGATCTTAGTTCAAGGCCATCCTGGGCAAGAAGCATGAGATCCTATCTGAAAAATAATAAACAGGGTTGGGGACATAGCTCAAGTGGTAGAGCGCTTGCCTGAGTTCAAACCCCAGTACTGCCAGCCCCACAAAAGGAAATACTAAAGAAAACTCACTTTTTCTTTTTTCAATGGAAAAGAGAAAAAGTATATATTCTCTATACAAGAATAAATAGAGAATTTTTAAATCCAGTTGAAACCACCATAAGAAAGGGACTAAAGCAGAAAGAAAAGACATAGAGATAAACCAAATCAGCTATAATACATATATACATGGAAGTGCCATAAGGAAACTCCCTGTGTAGCTATCTTAAAGAACCAAAAATGTCACTACTTCCTCCTCCCCCTCCCCCTCCTCTTCTTCTTTTCCTTTACAAAATCAGAGAACAAAAAGGCAGAGCAGATCCTGCCTTGGGTGTGTATGTGTGGGGCGGCGGGGGGTGGGGGGGGTGGGGGGGGGAAGTTGGTACCAGTGGGAGGAGAAAGGAAGTGGGGAAATGATGAATGAGGATGAATATAGTGCAAATACTGTGGATACATGATGTAAATGGAAAAATGGTATCTGTTGAAACTATTCCAGGAATGGGAGGAGGGAAATATGAAGGATTATAGTAGAGGGGGTGCATTCAAGTATGATATATTTGATATATTATAAGAACTTTTGTAAATGTCACAATGTACCCCCACCCAGCACAACAATTAAAAAAAAAAGAACTTGTTAAAAGCAGTATTTGAAATTTAAGTTAAAGTCCAAATAAAATGCTAAGTTTTGTTATAATTTAAGAGATTATAAAAAACCAAATGCAGTTATAAATAATTAGCATAATTTATGTGAAATTCTTTAATATAGAACAGAGATAAGCATACAGAGAATCAAATCAGCACTACAGGTAAAAGGACTTGGCTACCTAAAAATCAAGAGAAAAAAAGAAACAAAAGCAGGTGGCAGGTATTTGTTAAAGTAAGGGAGCTCATCTATGATGAGATCACAGTTGAAATATAGTGAGTGAAAATGTAATCAACATGTAGAAATGGAGGAAGTTCGGACACCATTGTTACTTTCATTTAAATAAAGATGATGGCAGTACACCACCAGCTGTTCATCCTTCACTGAGCAAGGACTGACGTGACAGGAGGTAATTACCTCCTCTCCACAGGAGGCAGAGCATATTTCTCATTCTGCAGACTCCTCTGATGAATGGACATGGAGTATGAGACCAAGACACAGGCCCAGATCACGTTGTTTTTAATGACCTCTAAACACTTGATTTTCTATTTTTTTCCCCACTTGTGTGTAGCAAAATATGCAGATTTAAGCATACAGACACATGCCACTGGCTGCCATTTGGCATTAGTCTTACAGGGAAAGTTGAGTGACTACATAAAAACATGCCATCAATTGCATTAGAAAAGGATGGAGTGAAGGATTTTCCATGGTCATTTCAACTTAAGCAATTGCCAGTTTTAAGAATTCTATTAATTCACTGTTTTCCCTGAAAATTATACTGTCTCTCAAGTTCCTTGTCAGTTAATCATGTTCTCATTCCTAGTCCTTTCAGCTCTTTCACCCATTTGGAAAGAAAGTCCTATCAATTCTATTTTCCTAATCTCTTTCAAATTTTGTCTCCACTTCCAATGAAAACTGCCACATACTTTAATACTTCTCACCTGCACAATGGTCCTCTTATCCTAAATAGTCTCCACACTTCTAGTTTCTTCAAATACTAATACAGCTCAACCAAGATAATATCAAATAAAGCACCACTCTCTCATTATGCCATTCTTTTGTGTAAAAACCTTTCAAAAGCAGGTTGCAATGCTAAAAACAGAAAAATGCTTATAGTACAAAAAATTTCAAAAGTAAATAGATTCTTTACAAATATGTTAAGACTGTATATTCATATTAGAAAGACCTAGAAAAGATCACAAAACTTAAGATTTAATTTAAAAGGCTTAGAACTTTTAATAGTTTGCCAGTATTTCCTATTTGTTGTTTTATAAAATGACATTTAGGAAACAAATCTTTCAGGGATGACTTACTGGTTATGGACCATAAAGTTTAACCTCTGTATTCTCGTTTCTAAACCTATCTTCCATCCTTCCTTTTCATACAACCTAAAACTCAGTTGAGTTCCCGCACTGCTCTTTCCCTGTTATGGGCCACTGCTCACATCATATTCACCAATTGGCAAGTTTTGTTCCTCCATCTCTGTGAGGCCAAATCCTACTACATTGTTAGTTATGTTCAAATAATACATCATCCACAAAATTATGCCTGATGTCTTCTTTTGAAAAACTACAATAAGCATTTCACTTATTTCTCTCCTACAAAATGTAGCATGTTCCTAGTTGTAGATTTTGTGTATGTGCTATAAGAAGCAGCCCTTTTTAGGATAGGGATCTTGTTATAGCCACCTTTGTATTTCACACAAGGCATAACATTTTTCTACATATGTAAAATTAGCAATTTGAAAAGCAAACACTAGGAAAACTAAAAGAATTATTGCATTCTTTCTTTTAGTTTTGTTATGATTTTCCCTCTTTTTCCATTCAAAACTTATCTCTTAATCTAACCCTCTTACCTGGAGATAAGTTATTCTCCGCTGGACCAGCTCTGTCAGATCTTTGGCCTCTTTTTCCCGCCAATCACCTGCTCCATCTGTTTGACTGAGGTAGTATAGATCCGTCATTATAGACCTGTGAAAGCAAACAATATTGGAGGGCTAACTTATTCCTACTGCTTCACTGAATTACACAAGGTCACAAGAAAAGAGCCAAAATCTTCATAAAGATTGATGCTCATTGTTAATTAATATTTATTTATTTGAGGTACTAGGGTTTGAACTTAGTGCTTGCTAGACAAGATGATCTACCACTTGAGTCACATCCTCAGCTCTTTTTGCAGGTAGGGTCTTGTGTTCTTGTCTAAGCTACCCTGGACTGCAATCTTCCTACCTATGGCCTCCTGTGTAGCTGGGATCACCTGTGTGCACCACCATACCTGGATTATTGATTAAGACAGGGTCAAGCAAACGTTTTTCCCAAGCTGGTCTTGTACCACAATCCTCCCCATCTTCACCTCGTAAGTGGCTGGGATTACAGATGTGAGCTACTATGACTGGTCCTCATCTTTTATTTTCTGTCAAGTCTATTAAACTTGAAAATTAGTTTCTATCACCCAAAATTTACTCCTATAATAAGTTTTTACTGTTGAAAAGATATACTTTTTTTTTCCCTTCAGGCCAGTCAGCTACAATGTCTTCCCAAAACAAAGTACTATAGAGATCTGAGAGAAATAGATTCCCAAAGGAAATAAATAGGTAGATTAACATAGGGAGAAAGAACATAAAAATTTAGAAAAAGATCAGAGGCAAATTTTGGCACAACTTTTGAGCAATGATCTCAACAACCAAGTAGTAGCAAACTTTTTCTTTAAAGGACCAGATAGTAAGCATTTTAGGCTGTGTGGGCCTCTGTTGCTTTTGTAGCAGGAAAGCTGCCATATACAATAAGCAAATGAATGGTGTGACATTGTTTCAATAAAAATTTATTAACAAAAAAAAGGCAAAGAGCCTTTGAGCCATAATTTGCTAATATCTCATCTAAACTAATTAAATGATTAAGACACTTTCCTACTCTGCATAGCATCAGTAATTTTAATTATAACATGCTAGATTTCCTGCACAACTAAAATCCCCTGTAAACTAGGAAGAGAAACTTTAAAATTAGCACAAATGGTTTTATTTATATTGCATTAAATAAGAGCAGTGCCTTGCATTTAGTAAGAAAAGTAAAAAGCAAGCATTCTCTCTTTTTCTAACATCCCCTTACCAATCAGCCAGCAAATATACAACCAGTTTCTGAGTATGCATCATCAAATGAGCCATCATCCTCTCTGGATTATTACAATACCCCTAACAATCTCCCAGCTTCCACCCTTTCCCATGTCTTTTCTCAACACAGACACCAGATCCTCCTAATAATTAGTTTCATGTTACTCCCTTGCACTTAACATTGAATTGACTTTCAAATCACTCAGAGTAAAAGCCAAAGTCACCTATTGACCTATAAGCACATCATTTGATCCATCTCTCACTTTTGTTCCCTTGCATACTCTATTTCAGTCACACTGGTTTTATTGCTAACCTTGAAAATGCAAGGCATATTTTCACTTGCTCCTCCCTACCCTCGACTGATATCGACTTATATGGATAACCTAAGTGTCCCTCAATCTTTGCTCAAATGTCCTCCATAGGGCTGATTCCATGAAACTAGAATTTATTATTATCATTATGTCCATTATTATTATTTTAGTAAGCACCTAGAGATTAGGAGCAGTACTGGTAACTGACAAAATGTTCACCTGATATCTTTAGCAAAAAAAAAAAAAAAAAACTTTAAGGGCTGGGGATGTAGTTCACAGGTAGAGTTGCCTATGCCTAGTATGTACAAGTTCCAGGATTCAATTCCCAGTACTGTTTAAAAAAACTTTTTAAAAGAAATCTTCAAGAATTTTAGATGAAATAGCAGTGATAATTTTTATCTTGCACAAATCCAATTTGTGGTACAGAGCTTTAGAGAACAATCCTTAACTAATTGCAGCTCCAGCTCCATCAGTTCTCTGTAAATATTTTGCCTGAAGCATGTTTAAGAATACATTTGCTCATGAAAATTATAAAGCTAGAAATTTATTTATATTTGTCAGAAAACTATATACATATATTATACATTACATAATATACATACATTTACAGAAATCACCAACAATGATAATATTGACTAAAAAACACATTAAGCATTAGGTTGAGGTTCCGAGAGTACTCAGAGAAAACTATTTTACAATATTAAATGAAAAGAACAACAATGAGCAAGTATCGAGCTCTTACTTGGGCCAAACCTCTTCTAGGTGACTTATATCATTGAACTTAATTCTCACAACTATCATACAAACTAGATGAAGAATACAACTATCTTATAAATTAGATGAAGAAAGCTTAAATAATTTGCTCAAGTTAATGGGAAAAGCCAGAATGAGAACTTAAAACCAAGAAATCTCATTCTAAAGCACAGCCTTGTAAACTACTGCACTAACAAAAATTAAAGCAAGAGGTCCAGAGTACTATAATATAGGGCCAGCCTGGGTGGCGTTGGTGGTATATTGGTGAGCACAGCTGCCTTCCAGAGTACTATAATATAGACTCTGTTCAATGTAAATATGCAAAATCAGAAAGTTTGAATCAGAGGAAAAAGCTCAGAGAGCCAGACAGACCTATTTCTTGACTGTAGCTCTATCTTTTACTACCTTTGTGTTCCAGGAAAGTTATTCTGACATCACCAAGATTTAGTTACTTCATCTTAAAATAAGTTATCACCAAAAAAGTAACCATATAACTTAAAAAAAAAAAGAATTAGTGCCAACACATACAAAGTAGTAACACATGTGATAGTTGCTAATTTCTTTTTTTAATGCCAGAGGCCCTCAAAACTTTTACCTTGTATTTGAAGAGTACAGACTAATAATTCTACAACTAAGAGAAAGAAGGAGCCATTGGTTGTGCATGATATGTGGTACTAAAGGCCAGTCATAAAAATGATCCAATATTCACTTCCCTATGAAACTCTGAAGAAGAAGCTTGATCAATCAGAAGGACTCATTTATTTAACAGATTCAGCTATCACACTCCTGGGTATACATTCAAAAGAAATGCAACAAGCATTCCAAAGAGATATCTGCACACCTATGCCTACTATAGCATTATTTACAACTAATATATGGAATAATTCTAGGTGTCCATCAATTGATGTGGATAAAGGAAATGTGGTATATATATGCAATGGAATATTATTCAGCCATAAAGAAGAAATTCCATTATTTGCAGCAAAATGGATAGAACTGGAGCACATTAAGTGAATTAGACCAGATACAGAAAGATAAGTATTGCATATTCTCTCTTGTATGTGAAATTTTTTTTTTAAAGTCAACTTGAATGTAGAGTAGTAACTGCTGCTGAGGGAAAGCAGAAGAAGGTGGGTAAAGAGGCTGTGTTTGATCAGTGCATGCTGTATGCATGTACAGATGTATCACATGAGCCCTATTAGCACATATAGTTAATAGATGTTAATAAATAAGTAAATGAGGTAGGATAATTATTTATGATAATGCAGCCAGGGTCTTAACAGAATCACTCTGCTTTCACAGTCCAATAAAATTAAGCTTGATTTTTAAATCCTTTTTTTTTCTTTGTTCTCCCCATTGTAGACCACATAAACAACCTTAAATTCAAACTATTTTTTCACTGACTCAGTAAAGTTTGGAAGTTACCTTCTTGCACAATTTAATTTTTAGCCAAAGACATGAGTATAATCAAATCACAAAGTATCATTGTAATCCATTAATAGGAAACATGGTGGTTAAAAACCTTATGCAGGGCTGGACATGGCAGTTTATGCCCATAATCCCAGCTACTCAGGAGACAGAGGTAGAACGATCATGGTTCAAGGCCAGCCTGGGAGTTGGCTTGAGACCTTATTTGAAAAACAAACTAAAAGTAAAAAGACCAGGGAATATGGCTCAGGTAGTAGAGCAGTTGAGTTGGGCTTCTCAATGATTTTACACTAAAACCAGATTTCCTAGAAGAGTCCCAAAAGCTGGGAATCTTATGGTTTTGGTTTTGACTATAAAGATAACAAGAAATTTACTAGGTAGGCAGTGAATCTGAAGGCTTTATATCAAACCATGTCAAAGTTTGGGCTACATAAACCCAGATAAGGTACCAGTAAAACAGTGCTATCCAACTGAAGATGGAGTACAGAGGCCTGAAGACAATGAGTAGACTAGAACAGAATGTGTAACTTTGAAAACAAGTCAATTGTGATGGAGGTCCACAAAAAGGGTTTTTTGTTTACATCTAATTCAAATGGGCCAGCACAGAGATATAATTCAAGCAAGAAAATTCCCAAAGTGAAGGAACTAACATTTATGAAGGTAAATGTGACTAAGGGAGATTACACCACAAAGTCTAATCTATGGGTAAATCTATCTGGATCATGGCTAAGAAAAATTACCTGAATTTTGTCCAAGGCTGCTTTCCTTTGGTTTGGTTCTGGGGCAGAAATAAGCAAGGGGAAGGATTAAAATGTGATCAGGTGACAGGTAGCCAGTCAAACCTCCCTATTGCCTCCCTTGTCTTGAGAAGGAATTTAAGGTATCGCCAATGTGACAACTAACATAGGTAGAAAAGAATCTGGGAGGGCAACAACAAAAATAGCTTATGCAAGAATTATGTTACTTGGTGAGTGATATTTGATAGGCTTATGTTTAGATTATAGGCCTTAAAATTCTTCCCATTGAGCAAATTCACACCCAGACTGAAAGTGAAATGATGGAAAATGTTTTATCAAGCATGAAAAAACTGAAAGCAAGAAAGAGCAGCTATAATTGTACTTGACAAAGTAGATTTCAAGCCAAAATTAGAAGAGATAAAGAAGGTCACTATATATTAATAAAGGGATAAATCTATCAAGGAGCTATAATGATTACAAATATATATGCATCAAAAGTTGATGTGCCCAATTTTACAAAATGAACACTATTGTAAATAAACAGAAGGAGAGGTCCAGATACAATACTTCAGAGTTAAAATGCACCATAGAGAAATTGGTTTTAACAGACGTCTACAGATAATCCATCCAACAGA